TAAAGTTGTTTAAAAAAAATTGCAGGTTGAATATGGCCCATGATTTTTGGAGAAGTTGAGTCACAGTGATTTAATCAGTTTCAAAATATATAAAAGTTGATGAATATCGTCCAAGACATTGGACGAAACCTATAATTCAATACTATATACAAAAATGTTACTGAATTTTGGATAAGAATATTAACTTATAATAGGGTGTAGAACTCATTATGTCTATATGTATTTAAAAGTTTATACTATATATCAGGGTGGTCCAAACCCAGGCCCGAGGGCCACATGTGGCCCCCACTCCATTATCGCATTTGGTATTGTTGTGTCATATAAATAACCAGGAAAATCTTTCGACATATTGTTACATCTCTAATGAATGTCACCGAATTGACTAGTGTGAATGCTAGCTGTGTTTAATAATGTGTTTGGCTAGTCTAAATTTTTAACTATTTTTTGGTCAGAAATATATGCCAACAAAATAGGCTTAATATAAAACTATAAATCGAATGAGGAATCTATGAATTAGCCTATGTTAACTATGCCTGATAATTAAATACTAATGTAATGGCCGAACAATATAATTCCTGCCGGGTGTTTTTTCTAACAAGCCTAAACAGTAAAAATGCTGCTTTTATGTCAGAAAATTTAGTAATTACCCTCCTGTATCTCAAATTTGGTAAAATTCAGTGATCAATTAATCTGCAGTTATTTTATTTGTAAATCTAAGTTTGAAAGAAAGCTGACACATTCGAACAGATGTTTGACTGGATAGGAGGTGGGAGATACCACAATGCTTGCTCAATATGTCCGCAAGTTGTGTCGGTGACAATCTTAAACGACATTTGTTTGAAATCTTATACTAAATGTAGATATTGTGAGTTTTTGGTGGTTTTGGAATGTTTTAGCTTGATAAAAGACAAATAATGATCAATGTGTTTGGACAATAAAAGTGTTTGTTTTGTATTGCAATATTCACCTACGGTAGGCTTTTGGCCCTATTGTGGCCCGCGAACAATACGAAATTAATAGTGTGGCCCGCGAGGCCATCAACCTTGGATCACTCCGCTATATACCGTAAGAGAACTGCAACTTATAGGACTGATTTTCCATGTTAGGTGGACCGTGTGCTTAAAAACTGATATTACCCATTTAGTTAGTTTTAGGATGCAGCACTAATATAAATATGTTTACATAAACTATTGCAAGTCAGCCTAAAAAGCAATTTTCCCGAATAAACAAGTACCGTACTTCTCATGTATAAATGAACTTATCATCTACATAAACTACTATTTGAAACATCCAGGGGTCAGCCTCTCATTCGAAATAAAAGCAATTTTGGCAAATGCAGAAATGAGCAACTAGTAGGCCTATGGTATTTGCAGCACAGGCACTTGGTAGTGTGATACCAGGCCGGTAGGTTATGTAGGATACAAAAATTGTATTTACTTACGTTCTTGCGATTTCCTTCCCAACTCCACTTTCTAAAACATTATCAAAATCGACAACGATTGTTAAAGCAGGCACAGGCTCCATCTCTAAATGCCTTGGGAGCGATACAGCCACTCGTTCTAGAGGCACAAAGTATGTGCACTGAAGCGTGCTGTCGAATACGATCTCCGGCAGAAAAAGCCGTAGTGCGCATCATGTTGTTATATGTCATTGGTCACAGTCACCCCGATATCACGTGACATGACGCGTTCATGCATTTCCACCAAGTTTAGTGGAGAAAATGTTTGGTAACACACCCTGTGAATGCATTAGCACGGTGTATATAAAATTATGCAACGAAATAGGGCGGAAAATTTATCACTACACCCCAATGGAGGGGGTGGAAATGGCAAATATCCTCTTTTTCTGTTAAGAGTGTACCTATGAAAATTCTTCTCGTAATATTGCTTCGGCTAACATAATATTTTCTACATCGAAAATCTTTGAAACGCGTGTAATGATATTTGTTTAATTTAGGTTATTTTAATGCATTGCTTGAAAAAGTAAAGATACCGAATATGGCGCACATATCCTAGCGCCACCATACACGTTTTGATTTCACGCCAAAAAAAATTATCTGGCACGTTTGTTTCCCGCGGGTTTATACAATGTGTTGCTAGCGAAATTCAGTGAAGAGACGATGATGCGATAAAAAAAAAGATATTCAGGTACAAATACCACGGGAGTCAATTGGCTAGTCCCGGAACTCATAATAGAACAAAAATAAGGAAAATTGGAATAAAATTTTGGCGTAACTCAAAACTGGTACACATACTACGTCCCGGTGTCCGTCATCTTGGTTTACATTCTTCTGGGGCGCCGTCAAATGAGTGAACTCGATTCCTGAATTTTCATCAATGATGGAGAATTAAGACCGAAAATCGTGTTTTATTACTCGATTCAGTGATGTTATAAATATTTCATGCCGGCAGTTATGATTTCATTTTTGATTGTCATCAACGACGTCGGAAAAACGATAAAATTCGCAATAGATACTAAATAATATTTAAGAGCTATTCCACACGCTCTAAATTGCAAAAAATGAAAACTTTCCCGTAATGTCCGGTCACTATCGAAATTGAGGATGAAAACGATTAATTGCGACACAATTTGCCTTTAGAATTATTGTCGAGGTCGCACAAACTATCTCGACTAAATTTAAATTTTCGATAATAATTTCGTATATAATTCGTAAAATATTTTCAATCAAAAATATCCTCGACGTGTTATAAGCAATTCAAGTCAGCGCTGATTGAAATTTTTTTTATGTGGCTGCAATTTATTGCCGTGCGTACACGGCTGCCTTCGATTACGATGAAAACAAGAGAGATATGCTCAAATATATGAACACGTCACAAGGTGTCGCTATTTTTTCATTCTGAAACATAAAAAACGAATCTTTTGAAGTCCACAGAAATTTTTGAAATAAGTAAAAGTAATAGCCTTCTGGCAAAAAAATCAATCTTTAACCACTGAAAATTTCAAAGCAATTAGTCCAGTATTCGAAAAGAAAAGCTATTTCATCTAACGATAGAGAAGAATAATAATAACAGGAACAACAACATAATATTGAAACGATCGCTATGTCCACTACGTGTCCAATAAAGTAATTGTAAAATGTTTTTTAATTGGCATGTGTCCGCGGCGCTAGGATATGTGCGCTTAGAAACTCGAAAAAACGATATTCGAATATTACATTCGAATTTGACATCTCTGATTCAAGCACTGCATTAAATTCATCTCAAATAACACTACACGCAGTATTCAAGTTTTCGACCTCACGTATGTTGAAAATCTAAAAAGATCCGACTATTCGCGAATGTTTCAGGACCCATTACATGGAAATTTCCGAATTCTGATCTCCCCATCCCCTTGCAAAATCTTGGCTGCGCCACTGAATGTGTGTATTGTAACGTGAGTCTAATCGACCCTTTTTAAGACATTTTGTGCCGGGATAATATGCAAAATGTAGGCTAATCATGCTTAAGACAAGCATTTCGCTAGCATTCATACACGGAAATTATAGGGGAATCCATCCTCTAAAAATCAATCAATTTTTACGATCACCGATTTTTATCAAGATCCTCATTAGCTAAATCATTGAGCTGAAGTTACAAACTTCCCATTACTATCAAATATCCCACGTATCGTGCTTCAAAACATTAGATTTTTACAAAGTATGGTTGTCACTTCACCCATTACTTTCCATGCATTCGCCGACAAGAAATGCGTCGGAACAGAATATCAGTCAAGCGTTTACCATCTGCAGCATAACAATGGTAAGACAATGGTCATTTTGATCCATTGTTAAGGCATCAATGGTCAGAGGCGAGGGGGTTTTAGTTCATTCCTACAATATTTTCGTTTATATCCAAACACACCTTGCTCGATTATTTCATTTCTCAAACACAAATATGATCGTGAATATATATGATTGGCTAACTAACCGGGGAACGACAATGCGCGTTAATACATTTTTTGCGATTGCTCAGTTTTCCAAAAATCGTTCTTCTATTAACTTTTTAATCTTGAAGCTAGGATTACTGAAATATATTTGGGCGCGCTGTAAAATATATATTTTCTGGAATGACCGGACCCTCTAATTTTCAAATTTTTGTACACCGACCTTTAGTGAAGTTGAGTAGACCTGCACATCGTGATAAGTTGGCAGCCGTTCGATTCTTTGTTAACCGTTTGTTTAGTTGGAACTGAAATTTTTTTGTGTCGGGTTCGGACATTTCATCCCAACCGAGTAAACCATCTGGCAACAATGATTCCTTTTTTATTCAAACATACGTTGATCAATTATTTCATATCTCAAACACAAAAAAGGTCTTGATTCCATGATTAGCTAACTAACCGGGGAACGACAATGCGCGTTAATAAATTTTTCGCTTTTAATCATTTTTTCTAAAAATCTGGCTAGGCTCACTGAACTATATTTTGGCGCACATAAATTTTCTGGAATGACCTGACGCCTGTAATTTTTAATTTTTTACTCTGTGGTACTTGTGATCTTTGGTAAAAATAGTTGAGTAGGATAGGATATGATTTACATATTTATCCCGAGGGACAGGAAAGCCGATAAGACGGCTTAATCATATGGCGAACTACGGCCTCTCGTCCGGTCACCAGTCCATGTCGGGTATGGGATTAGTTTTAGTTATTTGTTTTTTGGAAGCATGGACTTGATGGTGGAGGAAGCCGTAACCGACCAGCGGTTACGTGAACCACCCTACGACGGCGAGGAGACCAGCAATCCTCTCGCACATAACTACCCCGCATGGGATTCGAACCTGCGAATCCACGCAGAGTAACAGAGATGCGGTGGCGAACGTATTCCTAACGCTTAGCACGATGAGCCACACCGCCGCGCCCTGCACATATTGACAACTAATCAGTCGGGTAGATTTTTTGTTGAAACGTAGTTGAAACTGAAATATTTTTTTGTGTCCAGGTGTTCGCATTAAGGCGGTAATTTCACACAAAAACTGTTGGGATATCTCGTTAAATAGTTGCAATTTGTTGTTAAAATTTACATTTATTGAAAAAAAGTAGACGAAGAAACGATGCATAAGGTCAGAAAAGCAATGCTTAAATATATGGATAAGAAGTTGCCAGTGGCGCCTAAACTGAGAGTTTGCTGAAAATATCAGTCGACAATCGTGATGCTACTTGGTGGTGCAATATCCGCAACATAAGCTAACTTTGAAGCGATTATTTGGTCCAATGAAAAAAAATAACATTCTAGCGACTTCAAGTAAATATGGAATTGATTGTCACATTATTTAGCGAAAAAGGGGATTTTTTGGCGCGAAATATCAATTGCAAGTGGGCAAAACAATCCATTAGAATTAGATCATTTTGTTTCCAATAGGACAATGTTGAATTACAGAAATGTGTTTTCTGATATGAACGTTCGAAAAAGCATCTATTACGTGAAAGTAAACACTAAAGCACAGTGGCATTGCTAGCGGTGAAAAGATGACCCTAGTCCCGTCATTTACGCAGTCAGGAAGAGGGTAGGCGAAATCGCGGTGATCGTTTCAGAAAACGTTTCATGGGAATTTATGATTTTATGTCTGAACTGGCACGTGGAATAATTCAAGTCACACTGTCAGGGAAGCTATTAGAAATGACCGTCGTTTTGCTTGAAATTTCAGTTTTCTAAGAAGAGTAAAGCTATAGCAGTTGCAATAAATAACGGACAATCACAAACATACATATTTGGAACTAATATAGGGTCTATACGCTGTACAGGAAATTATACGATTTGATTGAGAGATCTATTCAAAACCATCACAACGTGTATTTAATGACGTCACTACAATGTTTTGATGACATCACAATCGCTTGATGACGTCTTGATGAAAACTCTCTCAATCAAGTCTGATTTTTTCGTTGTTTCCACCATGTTTTCGATGACGTGTATTGAATTGGTGACGTCATCAAACTTCAATTTGAAAGGCTTTTCGATCGAGCTTGCAAAATTTCTGTAAAATTGTATAAATATTAATGGTTCTGATTCTATAAAATTTCTTACCAAATTTATTGGTAATGAATTCAATATGTTATTATTTGGGCGGTGCTGATTCCATGAGGCATCCGCCCCGGGGAGTGGAAAAGGAGTCGCACTTTGATATGTTTTTTTATTCATGTCGGAGTCTTCATGTCGGAGATCATAAATTGGAATTGTGAATCGAGATTTTTATTAGAGAAAACTGAAACCAAACATTTTTTCACACAAGCGATAGTAAAGTCAAAAAAATAAGTTCTTTTAGTTTTGTCGGAGCCGAATTTGATGTCGTCGACACGTTATGGAAACCATACCCAAGAAACTTATTTACCGCTTTCCACGCATTTCACATTTCAAACGTCTCTCTGAAAGCAGTGATTGTTTAGAGCAGGGGTGGGCAATAATTTTGGACCCGGGGCCAAAAAATTTGCCCACCTATACTGGCGGCCATGTAAGTGCGAAGTAAAAGTTACATTTTATGAACAATATTTACAGTGTTACAAAAGCAAAAGTGGAAAATGATAAGCCTCGTGGCGAAACTAAATTTAATCGCAATTTCAACAGATTCCTTGAGCTATTTCAAAATTTGGTTTTAGTTCGGTTGTCGAAGCATCAAGGCGGGGTCAGATTGAAATACTCAACGATCCGGACTTAGCCCGCGGGCCATATTTTGCACATGTCAGGTCTAGAGACTCACCTCATTTTGTCTTTCGCTTGTTCGAGGCTCTCCGACATAAAATAAATAGGTTGAAAGGATGTTACGTAAGATTCTGTATTCGCTGCTACTTCCGGTTCGAACTTCTTTATCTTTTCTGGTGACGTCAGCGCATGCTGTGACGTAATGAATTTCATTATTTTAGTATAAAAACAATTCCTCTAATTAAATGTCGGACACAGAGTAAACCTTTGTGTCGTTTAACAATTTTCAATACCTAAAAAAAGAAAATGAAAAAGGTCGAAGGCCAACACGTAGGTACTCCCGCAGTATGTGTACCAGATTAGGGTTCGGTCATAATTTTATTCCGATTTTCCTTATTTTAGTTGTATTACGTGTTCGGGGACTGTCTGTGTTAGCCAAGTGAATATACCCCCTGTCCATGGGTTTCAGTTACTTTACACATCTTGATGTAAAGTAGGCGAACAAAATTAGGTATTTTGGTACACATACTATTGTATCTCCCACTTTTTATGCAACCTACGGGGCCCTATACTTCACCTAAAATTTTGCTCTTCATTTTCATTAATAAGAAATCTGTTTTAAGATTTTATCTACGTGGCATTGTAGAATTCCAGTGGACAAACTCGATTCCCAGCTGACAATTAAGTAACGCCGAATTACTTCAGTGATGTTCCGGGATGCATAACTTAATTTGGGAGCATTTGAATGGGTCGTCTTATTTTTATTTTATTTTTGAAAATGGAACAATTGATTTTAATTTTTTAATAGAAGTTGGAAGGATTCACTGATAGGTTATGACCTACGGAGCCCAGCATTTGGTCATTTCCATCGATTTTCGTGTTTTGCGTTCTAGTATTCAATTATTACGAGGCACCATGCGGATAACGCGAGTCCCAGTCTACGTAGAGATACGAATAATACCTGTAAATTGAGAATTTGCTATAGAAAATAAATTCATTTTTCCATTCCATTTTGACTGAGTACAAAATCACGATTATTGCAACCTTACTTTACGAGTCTTGCGCTTAGCGAATGTAAAAAGAAAATTTCAAATAGCATCGTGTTTTTTATTTGGACGCCAAAGGTCGAGGTGGATTCCTCAATTTTTCTATCGAAGCCATATTTTAAAAATGCAATTCTGACATATGACTCTTCTTTCCAGTGAGTTATTGAACAAACATGTATCATATTGTGTGTGAACGCTCAGCGGACTGTCTGAGTGATAAATTCCATGTTTTCAGTAAACTATGTGCATGAAGGACTAAGCACAAAACAATTCGCAAAGTATTCGAGATTCAATTCGTAAAAAAATATTCGATTTGATTCTAAAATCATCAGGTAGTCGAAAACTAAACACAACACTGCACGAATAGAATGATACGGCGTTAGTGAATCATCGCCAAACGAAAATTTCTCAGTTTGACGTAACACAACGTACAAAATGTCAATAGTGAAGTCACAAATGAGAAATAGCATACAAGAATAATTCGCTACTAAGTTATTACGGGACACGTAAATAATTCCAACGGGTCGTTCTGTGTCCCGCGGGCCATATGTTACACGCCTCTGCTATATAAACCCGTTCGCACCCTGCTTTTCGATAAAAAAAATTATTGTTAACGGGGGGCGCATCAGTTTCAATGTACATCAAATTTTACCTTCATTTCAGCGATGCACGACAGCAACCCTGCACCGTAGGCTTTGATCTTCCCTTCTTCCTTGCAGAGACCAAATTCAACGGTGTATAGATAGCACTGTGACAAAACAAAAAATGAAAAGTACATTATGACATTACAATCGAAAATCCTATTCTTTTATAACTGGTTTCATATGACATGTACAGGGATGACTTTTGCAAGCAAGAAAACCAAGAAACAGAACTAATAAATTTTCCAACTTAGTACCCCAAAAATTGAGAAAAATTGTTTGAAACTTAAACTTCTGTTAGTGTGTGATTATACCCAGAAGTTTCAGAAATCTAGGACGCCTTGCGCAAAAGTTAAATTACCGGGCTCTATTTTTTGGGGATATTTTCAAACATCAGTATCTTTGTACGCCATAAATTGCATGGGAAATGTGAGCTACCAAATGTTTTTCATGAAAACGCCACTAAACTGCATGTTTATTGAGCAGTGCAAACAATTCGTGACAATCGTTTTTTTTTATTTCTCGGATACAAGAATCATGATTCTCACTCACCGAAGCTAATCTTTTAATATCAGCGTCTGATGCGCCCAGAGATGCCAAGCCGAGCTCATGTGAAAACTGGGCAAAACTTGGATCAGCAAACAGAGGCACGTGGCCTAGCAGTTCGTGGCAAACATCAGGTTCTGGTGTATAGAGCGGATTGCTTGAATGCCTGTAAATGCAAATACCGTTAACAACTAAAACTGAAGGATATGATTGACATATTTATCCTGAGGAGAGGAAAGTCGATAAGACGGCCTAATCATATGGCGAAACACGGCCTCTTGTCCGGTTACCAGTCTATGTCGGGTATGGGGTTAGTTAGCCAGTTATTTGTTTTCGGAAGCATGGACTTGATGGTGGAGGAAGGCGTAACCGACCAACAGCAACAAGAATGCTATAATCCCAGTAAACACATTTCTGCAAAGCTATCCAACTTCGTTTCAATAAAAGTCTACCAACCTCATGTATTGCGTGCAGTTAAAAACTCTCAACGCAAGTCCTGCCAAAAAGTCACGTGGGCTCAGAAATCCCGCCACAGGCCTCAGTGTGAATCCCGTGCGCTTTTGTAGGAAAGCCGACACGTCAGCCAGCTGCAAAAACGAAAGTTGTGTTATGAATATATTCAATTCATTCGCCAGACCAGTGCATTTTAACATGGTTCCGTGAATTTTGTGAGTTCTGTAGGGTTTGGTGAGGGTTTCAATTTGAGTGGACATTATGGATGGTAATTGACTAATCCGTATGATACATATAGGGTACTCCCGTAGTATGGGGTGTACATGGTTAGGGTTAGGCTATAATTTTATTCCGATTTTCTTTATTTTAGTTCTATTACGAGTTCGGGGACTGTCTGTGTTAGCCAAGTAAATATACCCGCTGCCCAAAGGTTTCAGTCACTTTACACAACTCGATGTAAAGTGGGCGAACTAAATTAGTTACTTCAATATTGGTACACATACTTCTTAAGCGCCCATATGGAACTTACCATCAATAACAAAACTTTAGAACTCCCAATCTGTTAAATTCGATATTAGAACCTTGAGTGTCTGTGCTCGACAACCAGTTTTGGTTACCCGCGGCTTCCCTTCCCCAGTAAAAATATGTGTTGAATTTTATTTTTGTCAATATCGTATGTTATTCATATTATCAATAAAAAAACTTTTGAAAATCTGGAGTTTTCAATTTAATAAATTAGATATTAGGACCAATCTTGGTTCCCCGCGGCTTTCCTTCCCCAGTAAAAATGTGTGAATAATTTTACATTTTTTTTATTCCTCTTTTTCACTAGATGGAAAAATAACTTGTCTCTGACAGCAATACCCAATTATAATTCTCCGCAACTCCCCTTCCCCTCAGTAAAACTATATAACTTATCATTCTCTCGTAATTTGTTTACGATTTTTTACTGGTTGGGGAAAATAAACTTGACTATCTATTCCCCAATAGCTTGTTATTATTTACGCACTATGATCATGTAATTTCTGGGTGAATTCAACTATTACAAACAAAAAGAAAAATGTTAAGGCACAAATATTTCGGACGCCTAAAATAAAAAAGTAGGTAAAGAATCTCGAACTGAAAAGATTCCGGTCCATTCAGTTCAAAAGTGACTTCTTACGTATCGTGGGATATCAATGGCTGCTTGTTCTGGGCTTTCTTTAGAGCGAATGGAATTTGAATGAAGATTTTCATACCTGAGGAACGCTAGCTCCGTTGAATCCGCAATTCTTTTCCAGTAGTTCAAGGTTAACCATCTGTTCCTTGCATGCGTGAGTCGGGTAAAGAGTCATCAGCTCACTGTACACTTTGCGCCTAAAAAGAAGAATGACTGAAAACAACGTTTTTTTTTCGTTTTTTTTCTATCTTTTGGTGAGGGGGGGGGAGATCGATGCAACAAAAAAGGGAGCGGGAATATTTTACATGAAAAGGAGAATCACGTATTTTAACGAGCTTTCTGAATAAAACAGACTTTCGCCTTACTATCTGTTATTTGTAGCCTATTGCCAGCTAGTTATTTTTGAGGTAGGGCGGGAGACGTGGCAAATACTAAAAAATGGTGGCGGCTTAAAAAGTTTGAGAACCACTGCCCTACGATATGTACAAAGCTACTACTATTTGGAAAACCAGACAATTCGACACTGCCTCTCCAATTCATACTTTTCTGGGTGAAATGGAATTTGGATTTAGACACGAACTGTGTAATTTGTGATTCTTTCGGTAAAGTCCAACCCGCGACATGGGACAAAGACGGCCTTTTGGATGATTCAGTCTGGCCCTACAATAGGTTTGTTAGGTTATGATCGTAGTCTGTATGAGTTGTATTTTGGGTTGTCACAGACTTTCATGTTACTTACCAAGTTTCTGTTTCCTCTGTTGTGTATTCAATTCTTGGTATTGGATCACCACTGTAAATAAGAGAGCAATGGTCAACTTTACCAAATGAACACAATGATCGAATGTCATATCAAAGTGTTCCCATATGTCATATAAACGTGTTTTTATATCTCATATAAAAGTGTTATTATTTGTCATAGAAAAATGTTCAAATATGCCATATAATCGTGTTCCCACATGGCATATAAAAATGTTCCCATATATCATATAAAAGTTTTCCCATATGTCATATAAAAGTATTTTCATACGCCATATATACGTGTTCCTATATGTTATATAAAAGTGTTCCCATATGTCATATAAAAGTGTTTCCACATGGCATATAAATTGTTCCCATGCGCCATATAAACGTGTTCGCATATGTCATATAGAGGAATTCCCATAGGCCATATAAACGTGTTTTTATATATTATATAAGAGTTTTTTCATATGCCAAATAGGCGTGTCCCGTATGACATAAAAAATGACATACGAAATAAAAAAAAATCTAAATTGAGGTGAAGATCGGGACTCGAAGCACCGAGATAAATTTGGAGTTTTTATGTAAATGATTTGTTTTTTCCATCTCAAGCACTGAGAATTTGACATCGATTGATTAGTTCCGGAGAAAAGCACAACTGTTAGATATACGCGATATCTCACGAAAGCGAGGTTGGATCCGCTCCAAATTTTGCATGTGCATTCATCATATCTCGAATCAGAAGCGTCGTATAATTAGCGAGTTATTAATTAATTAGTGATGGGACACACAGTGTCGCTATGGAATTAGAGCGGATGAATCGAAAGCGGTTTCTGTTTTGTGGGATCCTCTAACTTTCGATTGATAAGTTTTCGGTCTCCGACCGATATTCTCGTTTTTTGAAGTTTTATTAGTTTTTTGGTCCTCCCGAAGTATGCGAACCAAGATGGCGGACATTGGAACGTGGTACGTGTACCAGGTTGTGGTTAAGCCATAATTTTATTCCAATTTTCCTTATTTTAGTTCTATTACGAGTTTACTTGGGATTAGCCAAGGGACTTCCGTAGTATTTGTATCTGGAATGTGGGCCTAACCCTAACTGGTACACATACTACGTTCCGATGTCCGCCATCTTTGCTACATACTTCGGGAGTACCGTTTTTACAATACTTGCCTTTAAGAACTGGTATCACCTGATCATTTCAGGTTCGAAATTTCTTCAAATTCATTCAACCATGTATTGACGTCATCGATAGGCTTTTGAATTTATAAAATTTCGAACAAAATTTTGAAATATAACTTACTATTTATAATTCAAGGCAACTTCTGTGAAGTAAGATCTTCGTTTCCTGTACTCCGTGTCTTTGAAACCCTGTTAGAAACAGAAAATATCTCCGTTGATAGAATATAAAAAAAAATGGATAAAACCTCTATCGGGGAAATTTTAGATAAGTCAGCGGCCAAAACAGTATAGGATATTGATATATCCCCCTGTGTAATTTTAAATTTTCTCAAAATTTTATGGACATCCTATTGAACCAATTGAATACACCCTTGGTGAAAGTAAGATACATAAAAAGCGAATAGGTAAGGACAGTATGTTTTGCCCAAACCGTTGGGCCATCGTGCGGACTCATTAGTTTGTTTCTCTCCCGTGATGAATATAAGATTTTTATCAACACTTTTATGCTACATACATGCAGGGTGATCCAAAATCACCCAGTGATATTTAATGATATCTGGGAAGCAACTATTTCTGAAAGGACGGTATTTTTTCGTTTTAACCGCTCGGCCGATGGTTTCCAACTTTTGTCGTTAAATTCCCCTCTTCGCCTATCAAAATTTTTATCTGCTACATACATACCGGATGATCAGCATCCAACAGTTCTCCGCAAAGTATGACATTCCCGCTGCAGTGGTCCAGATCAGCCAAACATCTCGGAAACCAAGCAATGGTATCGGGGTGGGGACCTGCAGGCAAAGAAATGAAGTTGTCAAAGCAAGGACGATAATTAATACGTTTATGAGAAAGCTACATGACTAGCAATGTGAGAACCCTTTTTTGTAGGGAGATGGGTGTTTTCGGATTTAGGGAGTAAACATTTTATTATTAGCGATAAAACTATTCGTACCTTATGAAAATGTATTATATTTCTCTGACTCTCACAAACCCACGTTTTTCGACCTCCGCCGGGACCCGCTGGCTGTTTCGGTCTAATTTGGCAATTAGAAATGTCAGACCCCACCTCAGAATATTCATGAGCTCTTGTGCACCGGTGGATAAGCCATTTTCTGGATATTTATGCACAGTTATATTTAAGTTAGGACTTGATGCGTTTATCAATTGATACAATAGTTGAGAGAAAAGCAGTTTTTCAAACAACAAAATCTTTGATAACAACAACAAGAGTGAAACGATCTATATGCGCACCTCGTCTAAGTCAGTTTTCTCAAAAGTTTTTAAATCACGACCCAGTTTTTCGCGACCCTCGGAAACTCTTGGTACGGCGCCCCAGAAGTGTGTGTACCAATACGGCGGTAACTAATTTTGTTCGCCTGCTTTACATCAAGTTGTGTAAAGAGACTGCACTCTCTGGGCAGAGAGTATATTCACCTGGATAACACAGACAGTCCACGAACTCGTAATGGAACTAAAATCGAAATGAAATTATGCCCTAACCTGGTACACCTATTACGTTTCGGTGCCCGCCATCTTGGTTTACATACTTCGGGAGTACCGACCAATGTACTTGCATATTCTAGCAAGTGGGATTGAATCTCGGCTCTATTTCGGTAATGGCGGGCCTCAGTACTGGATCAAAATCTTTCAAATTTTATCGCTGTTTTATTTTAACATAATTTGGTGTCGAAACAGATTTTTTACGCAGATAAGATGATACAGAGGGGAACAGTAAGTATGTATGGATTGTTCTGACAATAATGGGTACCAGGACCCCCATTGAGCCATTATGCGACCTACCGGGGCTCCAACTTAAAAAGCTTTGATCTAGGTGATTGATACTCAGCATGCCAACACTATTATAAAACATGGATTGTGACTACAATGAAAAATGTTTTTATATAAATACGGCGAATTATTTTCCCGCCCGTCCTGTGTAATAATATGAGAGAATCTTCAATTTTGTAATCTTCCGATTTGTTACATTTAAATTTATTTATTTTTTATGGTTTTATTCATTTTTATACTTGCCCTTAAGAACTGGTATCATTTCAAATTTCAGGTTCGAAATTTCTTCAAATTCATTCAACTGTGCTATGACGTCATCGATAGGCTCTGATACGATGCATTCTACGTAACAATCAACATTGTCGCCTTCGCGCGATTTTCTTGTTTCGTCATGTAATATTGTCACCTTACATTCCTTTGCATGTAAAAGTTAGTTACTGTTAGCTTTAGCATATTTATAAGCAAGTTTGCTAGGAACAAGGCCACGCGCAATCACTCAAAAGGAGACTAATTTCGGATTAATTACCTTGAACAAATAATTCCTGGCTTTTCAATGCTTCCAAATGGTATTATGATGACAGATTTTATATTATGACGTCATATTTAACAGAATGATTTCATATGATGAAGCCAGTTTTGTATTTTGACGTCATAATAACATTATGTGTGTAATTTTATTTTAACCCACCATCCTGAATACTGAATTAATTTTTGTTTTTGTCATAGTTACAATTTACCTTGAATATTTCGGGAAGTTCAACATATTTTACACCACCCGCAACTGTGAACGTAATACGATAGTCAGCAAGAGACAGTTTCTGCAAAAACAAGATTCAATTCGAGTTTATATGGTGATGGGTAAGAGGTTTCAGAATATTTCTTATTTATCGTAACCTAAGATAAATAAAATTAATGAAAGCTGATCAAAAACTAGTGGCGGGAACTAGGCTATGACGGTAGATAAGCATATTGTCAAGAACAATTGGGGACTATCTCTTTTTATCGATGAGATGAGATTTACTTTCAAATTGATTAAAAAAGCTCACAGTTTTGACTTGACATAACTCAAAATTCAATCTATATTCACTTCAACAATAAAATTGGGTACTCCCGTAGTGTGTGTACCAGATGAGAGCTCGGCCATAATTTTATTCCAATTTTCCTTATTTTAGTTCTATTATAGACAGTCTGTGTTGGCCAAGTGAATACACCCCCTGCCCATAGGTTTCAGTCCCTTTACACAATATGATGTAATGTAGGCGAACAAAATTAGTTACATCCATACACTTCTGGAGCGCCTAAGATTTAGCATTTACTCTCAACGTTGTTTAATTGATCGCAACTCATCTATCAGTAATTAACCTCCTTAAAATCCGAAAGCCAATCACGCTGAGTAAATATCACAGCATTGTTGTATGGAATCTCAATTCTAGTAGCTTGGCTTCCAGTTATACAAAGTATGGTATTGCGATTTATAGATTTTGTTGGGTATGATCGAGGATGACTGGCCGCGATGTCTCAATGGTTAAAGCGTTAGACGTGACTATGGTAACATCGCAGGTTACACATCTTGGTGCCCATGTTTCCGATTTCGGGAAAAAAATGGGGAAACCGCATCAGGTCACGTCAAGCGGAAGGGTTTACACAACACTCAAATATTTGCTCAGGAAATTTATCATTTCTAGTAAATACACGATGTAAGCAGGAATTTTATTTGTTGAATCGAAAACCAAAATTTTACGAGAAACGTGTCAATAAGAACGGGCTGGAATATTAAAAAGAACTGTGTTCAGGCGATAAATCTGCCAATAAAACGCTATTATGATATTTTCTTTGTGCACTATGACGTCATTTTTTTCTCTCAAATCACGATCTCATCACATTGTGATGTCATGTTTTCATTATGACGTCACGTTTATGTATACGTGGAATCAAATATCTTCATTATGACGTAACGATTCTGTACTATGATGCCAAATTTTTGTAATGGCGTAACATATTTGTACTGTTTCTTCCATTGTGACCCAAAGAAGGAATTTTTGAAAAATTTTCTCAATGGATTGAACGCTCGACTAACTTTAAGTCACGTGATCACCATTTGTTGTGCAGAGCCTTGTTCCATACCTACAATTTTAATGAATAAAATTTATTTGGTCTAACCGTTTTCTGTTGTTTTCTTTTTTGTTCGTCGTTCATGAAGTCATCAAGTGACGTAGCGGCAGGTGTGACGTCATATTTTGAATTGGAAGTCATTATACAATGTTGGATATGTAAATAGTATTCCGTAGAAATTACAAGATAAAATATATTCCTTAATTATCTGTGAAATATTTGGAATTAAAATTTTACATGGCGATTTCATACTCGACATAAATCGCTATTTTAAAGGAGGGGTACATACAATGATTTCCCTACTATCCCCCTATATGGGGGTGAAGATCCCCTCTCCCTAAAAATTCAAACAACCCCCTCAAATTTAGGCTGTGACACCACACTTTGAATTTGTAACGTGGAAATAATTGTATTTCAGTACCTAGAAAGTGTATATACCAGTGCAGATAATTAATTACATCACACGTTTTCGTGAGTTACAAATAGTTTTATCACTAGTAGGAAAATATTCACCACTCCTGAATTTGGAAGCGCCCACACGAATGAATAGTGGGGAACATACTGGACAAACACGCGTGGCAATCGAACGATTTCGTGATTATAATAAATGTATAAATAATAAATCCTAATAACTCACGTTTATATCGGAATAAACATTAACAACCACGTTCATTCACATATATTACTAGCTCGTGTATTATCTTCATGATTTTTACCGGAAGTTCGTTACTATACCAACAATTATTCGAGCGTGACCTGGCACGCAACATTATTATTGTAAAAAATTTGTTACATATCCTCCTCATTTTAGTTGAAAATGCACCCCTGTTTAAAAGATTGGATCTAGAAGGACCTTGGGATTTGATCCAAGAATGTCAAGAATTCAAAAGTTCTAAACAACTCAGGCCTTTTCGTAGGATTCCACACATAGTTTCACCCAAACCAATCTCGAAATGGGCTTCCTGTCCCACGAATCTCAGCAACGATTCAGTATCTCTATGAAACACCTTAAATTTTTAACCATAATTCCCTACTAATTGGCTATCTGTGGGTCTTTAAACACACAGTCTCGCCCAAGCTAATCTTAAAATGGGCTAGCGGGGTTTTAAAGATACAACAACTCGAAATATTTGATCAAAATTTCCAACTACTTGTTGCCGTCTGTCGGTTATTTATCTACTCTCTTCTGAACTAATCTCTAAATGGAACATTTGTCCGGTTTTACAAAATATACATTTATTTCGGTACTCCCGTAGTATGTGAACCAAGACGGCTCCGGACGTAGTGTATGTATGAGGTTTGGGTTAGGCCATAATTTTAGTCCAACATTTCTTATGTTAGTTCTATTACGAGTTCGGGAACTAGCCAAGTAACTCCAGTAGTATTTGTACCTGAAATTATGGCCTATCCCTAACCTGGTACACATACTACGTCCCGGTGTCCGCCATCTTGGTTTACATACTACGGAAGTACCTTTATTTTATATAAATGTGCTCAAAACGATGTGATGCACTTTCACTCGGAAATAAAGAAGACCCAACTTTGGGGCTCTAAAATTCCAAGACCCCGTATCAGCGACCTGTCAATATCTCAATGAACGTTCCTACCGAATCCCAAGACCTTATATACAGCGAACGACACATATCGCATACTCTGGCCGGAACAATGGCGTTACGACACATTATTGTTCATTTTAATCGTCAAAATTTAACAAAAACCAGCTAAACGTACTAAAATCTCAAAGTAACATCCTCGTAAAATTATCAACTTTCGATGGCGTAAAAATTACGCTAACATAACCCCTTTATAAAGCGTCTACCTGTATACAGGTTACTTATACAATTAGGATAATCTAGTAAACGTAATCTGCCGTCGAAAGACGCACAGAAGCACGAAAGCAATTGCGTTAATAAGGGTCGATATTTATACACGGTATTGTCTTATATAAATAAAAATAAATATCGATTAACTCATAAATCCCGTTTGTATACTCGTATCTATAGCGTATCTGAATGACAATATCTCGACGTGAATAAAAGAGAATAGGACTAGGAAATAAAAGCAAAAAAGAGTACGTAGTTCAGATTTCATAAAAAGTGTTTCTATTTAACAAATGAAAAACCGTGAAAAACTTACCAAAACCACCAAAAACCGTGAAAAACCTACCAAAACTATCAAAAAATCTTGCGAAAACAGGCGAATAGCGCTGTGGGATATTATGTCGGTCCGAATGAAACAGAATAAGAATTGAAAGCAAAAAAAAGGGCATTGCTCGAATATATTGACACGTATGTAAGGTGTCATAAAAAGTGTTCCCATGTATTAAAAATAAAAAAGCTCCCAATAGCACTATAGAAAATTATCTCGGCCTGAATAAAACAGAAAAAAAATAAGAACAAAAAAAGCAATGTACATATGCACGTACTTTATTCCTGAATCAAACATTTTTTGAGTTGAATTGGCAATTTATCAGATAGCAATAAATTAGTTTCTGATAAAATGACGTGCAGCCTTTATTTTCGGATCAGTTTTTTTTTAAAAGGGATCATTATATATCACTGTGAAATGTTCGAATCTCAGCCTCGTTAAGGTTCGAAGTAAGTAATTTAACATGATATATCCATCGTTTCTCTGTTACTATGCTTTATACGCGCAGCAGATAACACGATGTAACCACCATGTTTTTGAAGAAAGGAGGCGGAGAGAATCGTTTCAGCTTGAACGCGGAGTTTGTTGATAAAATACGGTACTCCCGGATTATATGAACCAAGATGGCGGACACCGGAACGTAGTATGTGTAGCAGGTTAGGGTTAGGCCCTAATTCCAGGTACAAATACTACAGGAGTCACTTGGCTAGTCCCCGAACTCGAAATAGAACTAAAACAAGAATAATCGGAATAAAATTATGGCCCAAAACTAGCCTGGTACACATGCTACGTTCCGGTGTCGGCCATCTTGGCTCGCATAATAAAGGAGTACCAAAAAAAGTGCACTGGCATGGCGGGAATATACGAAAAATAGCGACATTTTGGGTGTCGTAGGAACCGACCAGAAATTAATAAAATAAAAGTAACATCCCTTTAGCGGCTTCTTTCATCTTTATTTGCTGAAAATTTGACATCAATTGGCCTATTAGTTACAGAAAATCAATTTTTGTCAACCAAACCATCCATAAATCAACTTTTCCTATAATATATTTGTGTATACAACGAAATTTTGGTTGAAAAATAATAGGTGTGGCCAACACGTCGACCGGTCGATCGCTACGTCTCGAGTAATTGATCGCGTCTGATATTGAGTGAATTTACTAACATACCCCAAAAATTGCCTTGAACCAGTCTCATGCACCGCCTGTTGCGTGTTGTAAAACAAGAAGAATACAGTACTGTATGCAAATACTGTATGCGCAAAATACGATATACACATGCATTATTTGATTCTGGGCAAGTCCGATAGGACATATTATTACGTAACAAATGCAAGTTTAGCCGCTGCCAAGGTTTAGAAATGAACGTGCGGATTATCGTGTGTCTTGACTGACAAACGATCCTACAATACCTCCTGCAGTATGCGAAAGTTTTTGTCTCACTCCAAGAATAGTATGATAAATTCAATTTTCAACATCTTGCTCTATGTATCTTAATTGTATTATTTGAATAAATTCAAATAAATGATGGAACATTTACTATATGGAACACAAAAAAAAAAAAATTTGAGGCGGTTTCATTAAGAATGCACCCACAGACCCGAGCTTATTTGCAGCGGGGAATTTTTGTATAGGATGTGTAGTTATATTCACATTCAAAACCCACTCGATTTTGGGTATGAACTTATTACCGATCTGTCGATAGCGAGCTACTTTGAAGATTTTAGTCGATCGCCGTCGAAAGCAGATAGCACTCGACTAAAATTGAAAAAATAAAATAAATGAAAAATCCCTCTAGCGACGACTTCAATCTTTAATTACTGAAAATTTGAAACTGATTGCTCTATTACAGGAGTACGCAAAATTAATTTTTTCATTTTCACAAGGAATTAAAAAAATCTCACAATAGAATGGCTATCGCCTGACAGTTATAAATGCACCGAGCAAATTGGCAAAAGATTTAACGCAGCGCGTTTATGTATTTTTGCCCCTGTGAGCATTCCTTTTTAAATATAAACTGTCCGATCAGGATATCATGCTTGATGGGAAAAATTGAGTGTTGAAAACACCCATACGAAATGGCTTCACCCATGCTCTATTAGTTACCGGAGAAAAACGATTTTTGTCAACAACAACAATGATTTAGCAAATCGATTCATTGGTTCATTCCGTATTGGTAATGAAACACTATATATAGCAATAACAATAATACATTTTCGGAACGGTAAATACGTAACAAACTTTTACCATTATTTCGTAATATACGTTACTTATATCGTCATTCATGATAAACAATGTTAATTTACGCAAACGGAAAGAGATATTTTAAATCATCTTGCGCGGGAAATTATAACTAATGGCATAGTGACCTCACAATTACTACAATGTCAACACAGAACAAATGGCTGAATGGAATTTTGTTTGTTGTGATAAAATCACTGTCGCATCACAGACGTCCTTTTTCAGTCTTTGTTGGGAAATAATCGATTTATTGTTTCCGAATAATCATCATATTTTTATGGGCAAATATTTCAATCGATTTACCGGGTTAGGAATATTATTCATTACCATTTATCGAAAATTCAAAACGTTTTTAACTTTTCGGAAACGTGACGTCATCAGAACGATAATGACGTCACTGACATTTTATTGTGTATATAGTGTCGTCAGCAAAAGCGATTGGCGATAAATACAAATCGAGTCACGTTTTATTGGTTATTTTATTAAAAATTTATTTTCTTTTGGGTATAGATACGGAGATACCGGCATTTATTGCTATGGAATCGGCAAATTTTTTTGGATGATACCCTGTACGAGGAGCTACTATATTGTGCTTTCGCTCTGAATAAGGCTGTACATAAGCACCCGCTGCCATATATTAGAAAGGAGCAGAATCTTTCTGTTATTCTATAATTCTAATGTTTTTCAGAATAAAGCCATAAAAAGTTATGCTCCATAAAAAAAGTCTGCACAAATAGTTTGTTTGGTGTTCCCGTAGTATGTGTACCAATGGCGCGCAACCTGAACATAGTATGTGTACCGGGTTGAGGGTTCAGG